CAGTTGAAGGAGTGTGTAATCTCTGCAAAGTATCCCACACATCTTTGGCGAACACTTTATCTCTTACGTCATTAATCAAGTCTTCTTCTAGCATGAGATAAAGACATGCTTTTGCTTTAGCGTCTCTTTCTCGAGTGGCTTCATTAGCATCAGCTGCCAGCCCTGTTTCAACTGTCGACCACAGAGACTCCTTTATGAGTAGAGATTGGGCATATATCTTCCAGGTAGAGTAGTTGTTTCTATTTAATTTACTAAACTTTAGGATCTCCATCTTAATTTGTGCAGTGACTCAATTTGACACAGTCCTTCTGAGTATGCACAGCAGACAAAATATTTACTCACAAAGCTCCACAAAACTTACTTCCACACTCTGGAATTTTTCAGCTTCTGTGGATGCTGGTTGCTCTAGTATCTGGGCCTATATCCCATGTCAGGGATGATGGGAGTTGTAGCTCTTCACCTCTGGCTCTAACTCACCACCTTGTTATGCAGCAGAGCTGACCAGCTTTGATCAGTGGTTGATGCTTCTTTCCCAAGCAGCAGAGTTTCAGAGAACAGGCTGAAGACCCTGACAAACTCTCCAAGCCTTCTCACTCTTCTTCCTGAGATGTCTCCAAACTTCTCCAGGATTCTTCTGGCTCTTGTATCTTCCCTCAAGACACCAGACAACTCAGTAGTCTTATATAAAAGATCTACTTTATTCTACTATATACATAAATACTATATGCCCTACAAATCACAATCATAGGTTTCAAGGTTCTAGCCAACAAGTTGGGACTGTTAGGATCCAAAATGCAAGACCTAGGAGTTTCCATAGCAACAGGTTTTACTAATGTCACACGAGGGGTGGATTTAATCAGCCACATCCTACCTCAAGTGGGTTGGAGTAGACAAGGAAATAATCATAGACTTTGGACCAGGGGTAGGCAGCCTAAGGCCCGGGGGCCGGATGTGCCCACGAGGCCTTTGGACCAGCCCCAGGCCGGTCCTGCCGCTGCCACCACTGCCACCACCACCACCCCGCCATGATAATATTGATTATTGTTGTTATTACTTGTTCTTGGGGTTTTCTTGGCAAAATCTCCACAGGGGTTTTGCCATGGCTTTTCTGGGGCTGAGAGAGTGTGCATGCATATATATATTTTTTTAAAAAAATTAAAAATATTTATTTATTTATTTATTTATTTATTTATTTATTTATTTTTGGTGCTTCGCCCCCCCCCCCCAATTGTCTGAGGGACAGCAACCCAGCCCCCAACTCAAAAAGGTTTCCTACCCCTGCCTTGGATGTTCAGTACATAACATCATTTATAACCTTTCTATTGCAATACAGTGTTCCCAGGTGCAAAGTAGTTTGATATCATTCACTTCCCAATTAATCCAAGCCTCCCTAATGAGGCTGATACATCCAGAAGTAATGGGATTACTTAAGGCCAGATGCCCTGATTCCCTTCAGTATCCAGGAGATTTAATGAAGGTGGCCGGGGCCCAATGAGCCAACATGACTCTGAAAATAGGAATATATCATGAGAAAATTTGGGACCCTCAAATCATACACTCCACATCTCACCTTGGGCTCCTCCTTGCTGAGAGTAACACTACCATGAGCCCATAAAAACTTTTGCATTGGACCAATACTATACACCTTTTTGATTTGTCTGGGAGTGTCAAAATGAACAAATGGATGCACCGTTATGGCGGTCTAGAAGGAACCCCCACACAGAGCACCCAAGAGCACATAATAATCCCGATTAAAGAGACCATTTTGGTGCAATTAACACACAACTGTTTTTGTCTCAGGACCCTGTGTGACCATGTCACAATAATGCCTTCAGAATACAGATTAACCATAGACAGATCTAGAGGGATCTCGTGTTTTTGTAGAATTCATTTGATTGATTGTTATGGGAAGGAAATTTTACCACAAAATGGTAAAAGATTATGTAAGTGACAAATTCTATCAAATAGACAATAAGCTCATCCAGGGGTTTCATCTGGAGGATTAACTTCTAATTTCTCAGTGACTACATCTTTTAAATGATTTGAGCAAAGATATTGGAAGAAAGAGAATGAGTATATAATAGAAGAATGGAAAAAGAAATTAAAGGATATGATGCAGATGGATAAACTGACAATGTTGATCAATGACAAACAGGATATGCAATATATTAGGAAATGGGCAAAAATAGAAAACTTTGTGGATGTAATAATATAGTAGCAAAAGAGCATAAGAGTATTACAAGGATTTAATGAAATAGATCTAATAT